TCTGGCCTATGGAGTCGCTAGGAGTTGGAGATGGGGTGTTTGGGTTAGACGAGTCGTAGTGAATGAAAGGCAGTGAAGGTGGAGCAGGGCGGCAGGTGGTGGACAGGGAAAGAATGGGTGGAATTGGGAGGCAGGAAGTAAACGTATCAGGACTTGACAGCTGGTTTTATATAGTGAGGCAGAGAGAGGGGCGGGAATGAGTCAGGCTAGAGGGAGTGGACGGCTGATGGTGCTATTTCCGAAAATGAGGAAGCTGGAGAGGAGCTAGTTTTGTGAGAGAAGATCACACAACTCGATCATACTAAATCTGAGGGCCTTTTGGGATGCTGGGGAGAGTAGCCAAAGAGGTTATCGGCTGTATCGGAGCAGACCTCAGGGAGGTCAGGAGGAGACATTCATTCCCTTTTGGTTTTTGAACCCCAGGTGTTTGCACATTTCATTATCATACTTTGTCGTCCTGAGCTGCCCTTTGACATCTTCTGTTCAGCTCTTGGACTTATTTCTTCCATTTACTTTATTTATATGATTTAGGTGAAGGTTTACAGAGATCACGAGTTTTACAGTCAACAATTGGTCCATAGTTTGTCTCAACTTGTCCATTGCAATCCCCTCAATCTGCTATCGCGACCCCACTTCCTCCCAGTGTTTCCTGTTCCATTCTGTCGTCTTTCCCAACCCTCTGTCCTTGGACAAATGCTGCCCTTTTGATCTTAAATGGTTGATTATTCTAACACAAGGCTGAGTTCACTTCCAGACCTGGAGGGTGCCTGAGGTTACCATTTGTTTTAAGTTTTGTCTATTTAAGAGCAAATTTTGGGGTTTCTTCAGGCCTTCATTGTGGCCTTTCAAACGACCTTGGATAAAGCGCTCTGGTGGCAGAGTGGGTTACAAGCTCGGCCGCTAACTGCAAAGTCAGCAGTTCGAATGGCATTTCGTGGGAGAAAAGCGAGGCTTCTAGCCTCCAAAAGATGTACGGTCTTAGTAACCCCTAGGGGCAGTTTTACCCTGTCCTCTCAGCTCACTGTGGGTCAGAATCGACCGTGTCCGCTTAATGATCTTTTGGTTTCTTTGAATATGATACCCTCCCACAATTAATTTCATCTTGATCATTAATGTTTAGGGTATCAAATCTATTTTTGTGATGGTCTCTAAACTCAGGGGGCATTTACCCAAGGTCATACTTTGGCTCCCAGGGGCTCATTTTAACTTGAACTTACTCCATTATGAACTTGTATGTGAACAATTGGTGATCTGCTCCACAATCAGGCCCTGCCCTTGCGCTGACTGATGATACTGGGCTTCTTCGTGGTCTCTTTCCAGAGGCAGTTGATTTAATTCCTGTGTATTTTATCTGGCAAAGACCATGTGTATATACACCTTTTCTGTTAGTGAAAAAGGTACTTCCAATGAATAGGTTGTGAGTTTTGCAAGTCTATTATGTGATCTCCATTAGCATGTCTATCACCAAGATCATATTTTCCAACATCAATCCTTCTTTGTTTCTTTGCATTCCAATCACTAGTAATTGTCAGTGCATCTTGATTGCGTGTTTGATCAATTTCAGACTGCAAAAGTTGGTAAAAATGTTCAATTTCATCATTGGGTATTAGTGGTTGGTTTGTTAATCTGATAAACATTTTCTTGTAGGTCTATGACTATTATTTGATTGTCTGATTGGAAATAGCCAATATTTCAACTCACTATCAAGGTCCAAGAATTATTCTATTTTTGACAATTTCCAATTTCCCTTGACTCATACTTCATATATCCCTCATTCCATTTATTATTGTATGTTTATGGCCATTTTCCTGCATTTTAAGATGTGCCATCATCAGCCATTGAAAGTCTCCAAAGCGTTTCTCCACCCAAGTTAGTGAGGTCAACTTCATGGTGAGGGGCAGCTTGTCCCTGGCCCTATTTCGAGACCCTTCTCACCTGAGGGGCTCATCGCCTGGCATGGCATCAGACAATGTTCTGCTACTGTGCTCCGAAATAGACTTCCAGCTCCTTCCTGCTCGTCTGAAATCTGTCACTATGGTAATACTAGTGGCATAAGTGCCAGAAATACTGACAGATGAGTGGTGGCCCACACTCTGAATAGCCCTAAAAGGTTCTCCATTGCTCAGAGGAGAGAGCGAACCACACCAG